TGCGGGCCGGGGCGCCGCGGAGCTGCGGGCTTCCTAGTGGGGGAGGCCGCCTCCCTCGAACCCTGGTCGGCGCCTGCGCGTTCCCAGCTCATCCCGGGGCTCCCGCACCACGGGGCTGGGGGGCGAGGGTGGGGAGGGCTAGGGAGGAGGCCGAGAGAACAGAACCCCAGAACTGGCAGTGCCAAGGCGTCAGACATTTAGGCTTTGAACAATTCGGGTGACAGAGACCAGAAACAAGGATCAGCTTTTGGATCCGGCGTGTATAGTGTTGACCCCTTTTCACTCCCCCACTTGATCCCCACAGTTACTGGGTCCCCGCGGTGGAAGGGTGATTACCATGCCCTTCTGTGTATCAGGCAGGCCCTCTCGTGGATTAAACTCCCTGGATCCTACTAATAAGGGAACAGCCTCAGAGAGGTTATCTCGAGGCAGGTCACACAGCTCGGAACTGGAGAAGCTGGATTTGAATCCAGGCAGTTGTTTCCAGAGTCCTGCTCTTAAAGACCATGAGATTCTAGACGTTTTGCCCATTTTACAGATGCCCAAACTGAATGTCTCACATAAAGTTCACGGCTTGAAAGGGTGGGGAGACACCCAAGGACCTGTCATTTCTTCAAAGGTTTCAGTAGATCATGAAATTTAAAATCACAGTCCCATGTGTTTTTTGTTTTGTTTTGTTTTAATTTTAGAGTTGTGGGGTACATGTGAGGATTTACTTCATAAGTAATTGGCACACCACCACAACCTCAACCAACTGGGCTCAGGTGATTCTTCTACCCTGACCTTCCAAGTAGTTGAAACTACAGGCACATGCCACCATGCTGGCTAATTCTTTTTCTTTTATTTATTGTAGAGATGAGGTCTCACCATGTTGCCCAGGCTGGTCTCAAACCCCTGGGCTCAGGGCTCAGGTAATCCTCTCACCTCCCAAAGTGCTGGGATTACAAGCATGAGCCAGCACACCCGGCCATAGTATCATTTTTTAGATATACATGTTTATATCTCTGAAACTGTAATACCTCTTACAATGGATGGCAGTTGTTTTCTTTCTCAGTGGTACATAAAATAGCAGTCATCTTAGCGTCAATGATACCTTTGATTTGATTAGTTAGGACAGAGCCAGAATTGCCTGAATAACTTTTCTGGGCATATCTCTCCTCTGTTCCACAGACTCCTCTCTGCTTCAATTGCTCTGTCCTCCTTGGAGACCTATCCCCAGGGGGTACAAAGAGCCCCGTGTCCTGCAATGACGGTGCAATCAGGGGGCACTTTGACCTGGAAGACTTGAACCTGACTCACGAGGCTCTGAGACTCAAGTACCGGGGGCCCCAGCAGACAGAGCTGTTCATGCCCATCTGTGCCACATACCTGCTGATCTTTGTGGTGGGTGCTGTGGGCAACGGGCTGACCTGCCTGGTTATCCTGCGCCACAAGGCCATGCGCACACCCACAAACTACTTCCTCTTCAGCCTGGCGGTGTCAGACCTGCTGGTGCTGCTGGTGGGCCTGCCCCTGGAGCTCTACGAGATGTGGCACAACTACCCCTTCCTGCTGGGCGCCAGTGGCTGCTACTTCCGCACGTTGCTCTTCGAGACAGTCTGCCTGGCCTCAGTGCTCAACGTCACCGCCCTGAGCATGGAGCGCTATGTGGCGGTGGTGCATCCGCTCCACGCCAGGTCCATGGTGACACGGGCCCACGTGCGCCGCGTGCTTGGGGCTGTCTGGGGCCTCGCCGTGCTCTGCTCTCTGCCCAACACCAGCCTGCATGGCATCCAACAGCTGCATGTGCCCTGTCGGGGCACAGTGCCCAATTCCGCGGTGTGCACTTTGGTCCGTCCACTGGCCCTCTACAAGCTGGTGGTGCAGATCACAGCGCTGCTTTTCTTCTGCCTGCCCATGGCCACCATCAGCGTGCTCTACCTGCTCATCGCGCTGCGGCTGCGACAGGAGGGGCTGCTGCTCAGCCAGGAGGCCAAGGGTAGGGGCTCTGTGGCTGCCAGGTCCAGCAACCCCTGTAGGCACCAGCTGCGGGACAGGGGCCGGAGACAAGTGACCAAGATGCTGTGTAAGTGTCACTCCTGGGAAGAGGGGTGAGCCAGGCACTGGGTCTGAGGCAGGGCCCAGGGGAAGGGGCTGAGTGTCTGGATTTATGGAGAGTGAGTGTGTGGTTGGGAAGAGCTCCCTTAGCCGTGTGTGTGTGTGTGTGTGTGTGTGTGTGTGTGTGTGTGTGTGTGTGTGTGTGTATGCATACCTGGGTGCTCTTGTAGATTTTTTTTTTTTGAGTTGGAGTCTCACTCTGTCGCCCAGACTGGACTGCAGTGGCAGGCTGCTCATGGTCACCGCAGTCTCGACCTGCTGGACTCAGGCGATCCTTCTGCCTCAGCTTTCCAAGTAATTGATACCACAGGTGCGCGCCACCACACCTGACTAATTTTTTAAAAATTTTATTGTAGAGACGAGATCTTGCCAAGTTGCTCAGGCTAGTCTCGAACCCCTGGGCTCAGGCAGTACCCTCGCCTCCACCTCCCAAAGTGTTAGGATTACAGGCGTGAGCCATCGCACTCAGCCTCTTTTAGATTACCCTGCTGGAAACCTACACCAAAGATGCAGGTAATCGTGGTAGGATCTGCTACTTAATTTGTGGAGTCCAATGCAAAATAAAAATTCAAGGTCCTGTGTTCAAAAATTGTTAAGACTGTCAAGACAGCAACAGTAGAGCATAAATCCAAGCCTGACGCCCTTCTAAACTCAGGGTCCTGTGCAGATACATAGATTGCACACCCACAAAGCCAGCCCTGGCTCCTGGAACCAAAACACAGAAAGAGTAGGGCATGTGGCTGGGCTACAGGATGACAGAAACAGGCATCTGGACCCTCCAGGTCTCCTTTCTTGGTTCCTCCACGTGCCTCAGCTCTGTTCTTTCCTGCAACAGCCTTGGAGGCATGGCCATTGGTGCATAGCCGCTTTTCCTGAAGACCTGCCCTCTTCCCTTAGTGGCTATTGGAAAGTCCCAGGGAGGAGTTCTGATTGGTGGGGCTTCGGTCACGACCCACCCCCTGAACTAGAGTGGCAGGATGCTGGGGTGCACAGTCCCCAGTGGAACCACACTGTGGGATCTGGCGGGAGCAAGGTCCCTAAAAGAAGGGGAGGAGGATGCTGGAGAGGCAAGCTGGCGAATCTCCTCCATGCTATGTCAGCGGTGCCCTGGGACCTACAGAAGTGACCCTTTGTCTACAGAGGTTCATCAGGAGGTGTGTTTGTGAGGGCTGATGCACAGAGCACAGAAGGATCAGGCCAGAAGTGTGCAGTCAGTCAGGGCTTGCCCAGCTGGGTTGAGGCTCTGGATCTTACTGTGGCCCAGACCTGGCTCTTTTTCAAAATCAGTGGCCCTGGAGATACAAGACAAACTGATACTAAGCCTACCATTGATCCTCTCTCATCCCCCTGCTCCCCAGCTCAGCCCCACCTCAGCAGAGCCTGAATCAGGCCGGTGGGCTGAGCCAGGGCAGGACAGGCCTGCTGGGACCTTGGGCAGAGCCAGCTAACTGGGGCCTGCCCATCCCCAGAGAGATGGACATAAGAGACCCACTCCTCTTGCCCCGCAGGTCCTGAGTGCTAGAGCCCAGGGTTACTTGTGCAGTCCCTGAGATGGGACTGACTACGGGCCAACTGCCCCCTGCCCACCCCACCTGCCACCCCAATCCCTTCCCCCACACGTGGATGGAGGTTATAACAGGTACTTGGCTGGGATGGTTATCCTTGGAAAGTGGGCTTTCTGCTTGCTGGCCTGGGGCCCACTGGCCTTCTCTCCTCCTTCCCTCATGTCCACTTTCCAAGGGACACCAGACCGTGTGCTGGAGACATTATAAGCAATGTCAAGCCGGGCTTGGTGGCTCAGCCTGTAATCCTGCGCCTTTGGGAGGCTAAGGTGAGTGGATTGCCTGAGCCCGCGGATTCGAGACCTGCTTGGGCAGAGAGACCTCATCTCTACAATAAATCAAAAAAAAAAAAAAAAAAAATCAGC